AAGTGCTCGTCATCGACTGTATTTGGAAATGGGCAACCAGGACAGAGGGCGACGAGAGGTGCCTCTTTAATCGGATAGAATTAAGTGATTAGGCGTCAGCAACCATCAGAAAGTCTGTGGACGAATGTCCTACAAACCTTGGCTAATTCTAAATGTCGATCGGCCTCATCGGCGAGTCGACAGGGAGCGTAAGGCGGACCGGAAACCGCGATGGCGATGGCGACAGTGTGTGTACATGCGTATTTATGCGCTGAGTGACTGACTGGTGGACTGACAGTCAGACTGCAACAGCTCCCCCTTAGCGGCACCCCTAGATCGCGCGTGTGGATCGTGCAGACGGACTCGCTAGCCCTGTCAGCCACTGCGCATACACCAAGCGTCAGACTTTTGACCGACTAGAATAGCGCAGTGGCGCCCGGGATTGGGAAGAGAGAATGTGATCGACGTCTAATCACATATTCCATAAACAATCTGAAATGCTCGAATCTGCAGTGCGTGACCGATCTCATGAAATGTTGGCCAAAATTCTGGAATGCGTTTCCGATTAGGAAGGATTACTTAAGTGGATTTGTTATACTGATTATTATGCAGCATAGTCCTATGACATTTCGGACTCGCCAGGATGTCATCTTTTGAGCGCACTTCTTTTTGACCTGCAGAAACCACTCTTGGTAAAAAAGAACTGCTTAATTTGCATGCATTTTGCCCAATGATTTTCGATGGTCTTATAAATTTAAATATATTTTACAGAGAATATGTGCAAAAATAATTTTTCTTTTGCTCATTTGGAAGAAAATCACATTATCTTTATATTTTATGCCCGACGAAAGTGTGTGTTTAGGTTTTAAGAAAGTTACTAATTATGACGTTTTTAAGACCGTGCCATGTCCATGTATGTAAGACCGCACATGTCCGTTTACTAATGCTCTTCATGAAATGTACAACACAGTCCAGATCCATTGCAAAATTTTATAAACTCTATAGGGTATCGTCTTAAATGCATAGAGAAATATGTGATCTTCCTTACCCGGAAAGCATTCACCTTGTAGACTGAAATTGCTAAACGCTGATGCAATGTCAGATCAGGCTGAAAATTATTCGGAAGTTGGGATACTCTTTAAAAACCTAAATATACACTTTATTCGGGCATAAAATATAAAGATAATGTTAGTTTCTTCGAAGTAAGCAAATGGAAGCTTATTTTTGTACATTTTGTCTGTAAAATATATTTAAATTTATAAGACCATCGAAAATCATTGGGCAAAATGCATGCAAATTAAGCAGTCATTTTTACCAAGAGTGGTTTCTGCAGGTCAAAAAGAAGTGCACTCAAAAGCCGACATCCTGGAGAGTCCAAAATGTCATAGGGTTATGCTGCATGAAAATTAGTATAACAAATCTACTTAAGTAATCCTTCCTAATCGCAAAGGCATTCCATAATTTTGGCGAACATCTCATGTGATCGGTCACGCACTGTATCACCTTGTGTTAAAAGTCTTTGCTTGGAAGGTTATCAACTGACGGGAACGACTGAGAGTCAGGCTCCAGTGGCCCCTTCTTAATGTAGCCCTTTTGGCACTTTCAGTCAGTTGGACTCCGAGCCGCCTCCTTTTTCTTGCTGTTTAATATCCCCATCGGATGTACGAGGTGAACCAGGGGAACGTGGTGGGACGCCTAGATAAGGATTTGGATGTGCCAGCCACATGCTCCCTCTCTCGCCTACGGTCATCTTGACCCTTTACTGCCACGAAGCAAAGGTGGTAGGGTGCGAGTGGGACATATGCGTCACAAGTCTACCTATGCTTCATATGAATTCATCCGCAAGTTTCCGTCCCTGCTTCCGTTTGCTGCGAAGAACATAATGGTCATCGTCGGAATCGATGGTCAAATTATCGTTGGGGTACGAATCAACCATTTGGCCACTATACACATCAACACACACACAGCCGACCGTGAGATGTAGCTTGAGTCTTCAGGCGTCAACCTGCCAAGTCACGGCTTTTAGTTCGCTCTCATGTATTCAAGAGCGGCAGATTTATTATACAGTGTGTGGGCTAACTCATAAAATGTCAATCCAAGGTCCGAAATACGTTTTCGTTTCGAAAAGATTAATTAAGTAGGGTTGCAAAACCAATAATCGTGCAGCATAATTCTATCACAATTCAGCTACCTCAGGGTGCCGACGTTTGAAAAAAACTTTTCGGCTACATGCAGGAACTACACTCTGTACAAAATGACTACTTAAGCAGCATGGATTTGTCTCATTGGTTTTCGATGCCCTTAAAAAGTCGATTATATTTTAAATGTGTGAAAATCCCCATCACTATATTCAGAAGAGAGATTGGCGAGTGAACGTTCCTTTCGGTAAATTCTCATCAGGCCAATACAATTACATAGGGCGGGGTAGAGTGAGTGAAACAAAATCGATAAAAGTTAGGTTTTAAATTGTAGGCTCGGCAAGAGCGGAAGGGCGCCGAAAGTTGCATGTGGTTAGTCAACCTTTGACCACGGTAAGCGCGGAGCCTGAACAAGGTTCTTTTGGGCGCATAGGGTCGGTTTTCGTAACCTTATGGCGGCCGCTTCTGCTGT